CACTTTTCTTCATTTTTGTCACAATATGGCAATAGATCAAGTTTTATCATTTCATGCATTCTTTTATAATTAACATAATCAAGTCTATTATACTCTAAACCAGAAGAAAACTCAACCAAATATGCAGAAACAAGATTATTCTTATTATTACTAGTATCAAGTACATTTAACTTAAACATCCTATTACGAAGATAACCCTTACCTGCATAATACCACACTTGAATAAGATGAACTTGTTAGCCTCAAAAACAAATTTAAAACCAAACTTGTTTAACAAACTACCTGACACTGATTCTTCTAACTTCCAGCACATAGAGTACATTAGTAAAAGTTACTGCATTTTGGGAAGTGAACTTAAAGTCTACTTCACTAACCCCTTGAACATAAATGGTAGTAGAATTTTCCATGTAAACCATGGTGTCTTTATCCGTCAGTTTCACGATCATGAAAGCCTCCTTACTGTTGCAAATGTGATATGTAGCACTGAAATTAATCCACCAAGCAAAATCATTTTCAACCATATTGATTTCAGAAATCGTAGCAGCCAGATTTTTGCTTACATTGTTGCAAGAGTCTTGATTCTCCTTTTTATTCTTAAGAATCTTGCACCTGGACTTGTAGTGTCCTTTCTTTTTGCAGTAGAAGCACTTGCCTTTCTTTTTTTTCTTGTTGTTGGACTGATTCTTGCATTGTTGGCCTCTCCTGCTTCCTTAGGACTTGCTTGTTTGCTCCTCTTCTTTCACATGCACTTTGGTTCTCTTCAAGGAATTGTGTGTTCTTATTTTATTAGGTGTGAATTTCCTCTTCTGCTCTAAGAGACTTAGCAAGGGTTTCAAGAGAGATATCCTCATTTCTATGTTTGAGGTCTTTTTCGAAATCTTTCCAATATGGTGGTAACTCTTATTTATTATAGAACATATAATAACAGCTTCATTCATGTGTAATTTGTGTTGTATAAAGTGATTAAGAAGCCATTCAAGCAAATTGCTCCATAATCGACCTATCATCTACCATTTTATAACTATTAAAATAGGAGATAAGAAATTTCTTATTTGTTGCATCTTCTTGCATATGTTTGGATTCCAATTGATCCCAAAGTTCCATGGCAGTTGGAATTGAATGGTAGACATTGAACAAATCATTGCTCATGTGTTGAGGATATGACCATGGCAAGTCTCATTGTCATTCTGCCATTTTTGGCGTTTGTGGATGTTCTCAAGAGCTGCTTCATCAGGATTGACAATCAAGGGTTTTGGTGTGGTCAAAACATAAACTACTTGAAGAGCAGTAAGAAGGAAAAGAACACATTTTTGCCATCTAATAAAGTTGCTTCCATCAAACATTTCTAACTTGATAATGTTGGATGCTAATTCTTTTAATGTACCAGCGATTGCTAAAGAACAAATTTAAGCCTACAGATTGTTAAGGATGTTACAAAAGAAATGGCTAAATATTACAAAGTATAAGATACACAGAATGGTTTCAAATCATGATTCTAAATCACTTTCTTTTAATCTTTATTTGTGCAGTATTGTGTGCAATAGAAATTGGACAAATATCCTTTAGGTTAATTAGAATTTGCTTATCTTCAACTCTTGTATAAAGTTAGATAAATCTACTTGAACAATGATGTATTTTACAGAGAATTCCAGTGAGTAGGAAAGTAATTTCTGCGGCAAACCACCCTCTTACTTGTTCTTATATAGATGAGATTGTTATAAACAAAGAGATGTAACTTTTGTCCCATGATTTGATGTCTATTCCTTGATTTGTACTAACACAAGTGGTCTGAAGTTTTACACAAGTTTTAGACACCATTTGGAGGGGTATAAATCGCCAAAATATGAAAAGGTGTCAAAATAGAAAAATTGACCATTACTAAGGATTTGCCCATAGGTCCAACTAGATAGAATTTCATTACTCTTTTAACAGAAACCGGTCCACGAATCCAGTTCAATTACAATTGAATTCATGGAGGGATCAACAAGGATCCGTCCACAGATCCTTTATAAATTTTGGAAATTTCTAACACTATCTACATAGAATTTGTAAGTATTCTAGTTTATGTAAGTTTGACCATCGTGCAAGTGTGGTTAAATATCGAGTTTTATGCTTAAAATTTTGTTGCAGTTATTTATTAAGCATGTTTTCAAACCAATAATGAAATTGGTAAACTGAATTTAGATAATAAATCAAACTGTAAGTCCGTTAATATGATGGAAAAGTGTTGTGGAAAAGTCACATTGTTTGATTGAATTGTTTTACAATATTTTTTTTGAACATTTGCTGAATAATGGTAATTTATATGCGCAAAATAGACGGAATGGGTTGCTCATTATTGTAAGTTGATGCAGACTTTTTATCCTGTGCTCGTCCACAAAATAGTTGCACTATTAATGGTAATATTTGGCCATAACCAAATTTATGAGGCTTATTTATTCTTGACTTTTCTACTTTGTTTATTTCATTTTTGAGTAAAATATTTTTGGCATAATTTTTTGTAATAATTCTATGGATAACTTCATAATAATGTTTATTGTCAGAATTTTCTTTTAATAATTTAAGTCATTTATCTTGACAAGGGTTGATTTTGTAACCATAACCATAAAGTAAGGGATGTAAGTGTAATCCTTAAAATTGGAGGGGTACTAAGTGAAATTTTTAGAAACAGTAGGGGGCAGATGAACCAGATGATCAGCTACTCTACCCTCTTTGTCGGGGGCAGATTAATGGATGGATTGTTGTTGAATCTGCTCGGAGATTTCTGAACACGTTAGTACGAAGTTGTCCTCTGGAAACGTGTGACTTCTCAGGGAATTGTGTTCAATTAAGGAAACATGCCCGGCTTGAACATCCCGTGGCTAGGCCATCCGATGCTGGCAATTAGTGTTTGTCTGATTGGAATGATTTGGACGACGAAGCTGTTGAGAATGATTCGATTGATCAAGAAGATCTAGATGATGAAATTGAAGAAGGGCAGTTCGAAAGATTGTATCCAGGTGATGATTTCTTCAATCATATCCATTTTGGGGATGAGAACGATACGATTCTGAAGGAACGTTACTGCATTGAGAATGGTGTTTTCAAGTACTTCAGAACCACAACTACTGGGAAATCCTATGAGTTTGCAATGGTACTGGAGTAGATTGAAGATTGTAATTTTAGAATTAGTTATCTTGGACAAGAAATTTGGACCCAAAAGGGGTTTGTTTAGATTAAGGATTAAAGCCTAGAATTAGTTGAACGACTAAAAGCTTGCTTTTTAATTTATAATTTTTATTGTTATTCGTTTGTTGCACCCTCTCTTTTTTTTAGTGATTAAAGTTAACTTTTTTGTCAATCGTCAATGTCTACTCCTACTACTACTACTATTCTAGAGGACTGAACCACTATCAAATTAGATGGATGCATATTCCTACTCTAATCTAGGGTACTTTGGATCTTCAGCCTCAGTGTGGAGCCCCCTTATCAAGTCTCTCTCTTCAAATCCTTATCAAGTCTCACTTTTCAAATTCCAATACATGCAATAATTCTGTTGTAGGAATTGATTGATGCCTCACTCTTCAAAGTAATAATTTTTGTTGTAAGAATTGATTGATTTAAGTGATCTCACGTGAGTTGTTACACGTATCAAGATTTGAAAATTGAGGTTTTAGACTAGGTGATTGAACCGCTATCGAATTAGACGGATGCATTATGCGCCGTATAAGTTTAGAAAAGTCATATATTAATGATAAAGTGATAGGAGACAAGATTTGAATCTTGACCTCCTATTTCACAAAACTTAAGTTTTTTGTGGTCTCTCTCTTTGGTACATGTTTCAATTTAATAAAGGGGCTGCAGATGGACCTTATCTGGGTTACTTCAATCATACAGCCCGGCAATTCAATAAATTAGCCTGGAGATTCTGGATCAAGCCCAGTTAGCCCTCAGCTTTAATAATGCAATGTAAGTCAGACCAATTCATAGATATCCTAGGCAGTCCGTCAGACAGCTGCAACATATGATAGTAATTCCTTTTGTTTTTTTTATCAAGTCCTTGAATACGGCTCTATCCAAATTTTGGTTATGGTTCCAATTGAATTATTCAATCTTGATTTCCCTTTCTACATTTTGCCTGTTTGGTACATTTTATATTTACTTTTTGCCTGTTTGGTATGTATCATAGTTTGATTCGTGTAAGTTGTTCTTTGTCTCTATTTGGTCAAAGGAATGGGGCAACTAAACTAATGAATCTATGTATGTCAATGCAAAAAATGGGCCAAAAAGAAAAAGGAAAAAGAAAGTGGGTGCCAAAATTTGACTTTGACAATATATGGATGGGTGAAAAAGGATGAAGATTCCAATCATTTCTGAAAAAAAAAGGAAGAAGATTGCTCAGATTTCTCTTTTTTTTTTATTTATTTATTTGGCTATCTAAAAGTGGTTTAAGCTCTTTCATAATTGGCACATCTCAAGATTGGACATTCTTTTCTGCAGCCCTAACTTTGGTGTAGGCACCAAAATTAGAGATCAATTTGTTTGCTGTGAGGACATTTACTGAGTTTCTCACAATAAGCTTTACAAGTTGCCATGAATAGCTAAACCATAATAAGTGGTAGATGTACTTTTTTTCTTTGATACCATAGTTGCAGGGATTTTGCAACTCATGTCATGTCAAACCATCAAAGTCCTTGGGAGAACACTAATACAAGATTTAACAGCATGCGTGGTTGTATATGATTATCATTAACAGTCAAAAGAAGATTAATGTTCTATAGTCGAAAATAAAATCTCTGTATTAACAAAAAGTTTACAACAATCCAAAGACACTGATCATGAGGCCATAATTCAAACATAAATAAAATGCCAAATTTAGCAATTATATTTCAATTACGAATTTCTACTTATTAAATTCTTATGCAAACAATGATTGATACACCCAAAAAAAATTCAAAATAAAAATAACATAAAGCTTAAGAAAGCATCTATTAGGAATCAAATGACTCTCTTGACATAGTTTAGGCTGTGGATGTGAATTTAAAGTTGGAGCATGTGGTTTGAGCGCCCAAAAGCGTAGAGGTGAAGCCCAGTCTTGAAGTTGCCAAATCAAATTGCAAGAGCAAATCTTCCAACTGATAACCACCAATCACAATTGAGGTTCTGGGATTCAATCCGCCGTCAACAAATCCAAGGCACAAAACGTTATCATTCACATAAACCATGGAGTTTGAACCAGTGATGGTCCAAACCATGGTTCGAAGTCTCGGCCGAGTCGTCACCGTCTCGGTCCCTACCGATACGATACCGTGACGAAACGATACCGAGATACTTGACTCGCCGAGAAATCGGCCGAGACGCCACTGCGACGGATTGACTCGGCAGAGTCACACCGAGTCACTCCGAGTTATCCCGAGTTAAGACGAGAAATCGGCCAAGTTACACCGTGACGGATTGACTCGGCCAATTCTTTTGCTATTTTTTATTATTTTTGTTTAGCATACTTTTTTTATATTATTAATAATTTTTAGAATATTAAATATTTTAAAATTTGCGTCTCACCGAGACCGCGACCGATATGCCGAGACCGATGTGAAACGTTCCGGGCCGCGACCGTGACCGCGACCACGACTTTGAACCATGGTCCAAACCACATTTTGACCCTGCAAAACAAGTTCAATGTATGGAACTGATGCACCAAGTCTTGTGCCAAGAACATTCTCTGAGCTGAAACACACCTCAAAGGGTGCTACACCAGCAACTCTACTGATGTTCCTTGCTGCAGCTTCACTAATAAAGGCATTGGTGACAGCTTTAAAGATGGAAGTCTCCAGTACAGTGTAAGGATTGACAGTGCTGATCTTCGTTCCGCCATTGCCTTGTCTATCAATGGTCAGCAATGTGTTGTTCAATTTCACAGCCTTATCGCCCACCCTGATAGATTTAACTCCAATGAAGTACTCGTCCGAGGGCTCGCCCTGGCTGGAAATTCCAGCAGTGCTCACTGGATTGATGAAAAGCGGGGTGTATTGCAAAAACCCGGCTGCCTCAACATTTGGAAGAAAATTGTAAGGGTCATCACCGAAAAAGACAACACCATCAACCGTGTATGAAGTTGATAGACAAATTACAAACTTTTTATGGAAACTGAAGGCAGCAGACAACTGGGATGGCAGTCCAATTCTCGCCCGGCCAAGTCCAGCCATGCCAACTGTACCACTGGCAAGTCCTTTCAACAGAAAAGTAGAGCCACATCCGAAAATGAACTGAGGAACCGTGACGGATCGACCTGGATTCGAGCCATCGGTTGATGCTACGATGAGAGAATCCTGAGCTACCTCTCCCCCGGTGGCAGTATGAGTAACGGTGTTGTCAGGGAAAACGACGCAGGTGTTAGTGTTGCACCCAGGCTTAGGCCCATTGGTACAATTTCCACACCCATCATTCCCTGCTAGTGAGCACTGGGCACTGCGGCATCTAACCGGGCGGTACGTACAGGATATGTAATTTTTGTCGCAATCAACCCACAAGAATTGGCCTCCAAGATCAAGAACCAGGTTCAGGGAAACTGAGGGTGTTCTTTGGTTGATTTTGGTCACATATTGCAAAGTGGAAGCATCCTTTCGGACCGGAAGAACTAGAGCAGGTGGGCGAAATGAGCTCTGAGCTGAAACACTTGAAGCCAAAAGCAGCATGAAAATGGATAAATTGACAAATGTAGTGTCGGAAAAAGCCATATTGATTTCAGAAGCTGTTGCTACAATTGTGAAGGATGAATTCGATGGGTTTTACTTGACAGATGTGGAGAAACGGCTCCTCTATTTATACAAAACCTTGGCGGGCTGGTCCAAGACAAGCCACCTGATGCGACTGCCGAAGTGAAGATCCGAACTGAGCTGGGGCTGGTGGAACGAGCTGGCGAAGTGTTCGACCTGCACGTGAACGAGCTGCGGGGCTAGGTCCCCTGAAGCAACTCCGACGATCAAGTCAGAATGGATTCGTAAGTAGAAGAGTAGAGTTTGCACTATGAGTAGCGTACCTTGTGTTTCCTCTTTGTGTGGTATTTATAGAGTCTCAAGTAGTAGTTTCCTAGTAGGACAAGAAGTCCTTATTGGAGAGGAATGGTTCCTAGGGCTCCATAACACAGACCTGGAGACGCGGATTCCGCAGCCCATCAGGCCCATCTGCCTGAGAGGCGGCGCCCGCATGGACCTGCGAGCTGACCTGACACTCCGGCACAGCTCCTCCTGTCCGAGCTCGTGGGCCGGACTGATGTGTGTGTGGGCCGGGCCGATGCGCGCCCGGGCCCCACTACACTAGCCCCCCCTCTAGTCTAGAGTCATCGATCGTGTGCGTGAATTTAGCCGCCTTTCTGGCGTCGTGTCAGTTCGGTGTGGGGCCCTCGTCTGGTAGTGGTGCACGCAACCGTCGCGTCGGTTCGTGTCTGTCATCTCAATCGTCACGTCGACCAGTTATGACGGTTAGGAACGGTTCCCCATAAACAGTTCAAATAAATGCACGCCTCTTCACTTTCCCGCCCTGTGGATCGCCTATAAATAGGCCTCTTGGGCGTCATTTTCACTCCTCCTCCTTCACTCTATCAGTTCGCTCTTCCCCTCCTTAGCTCGCTGCCACATCCTTTTTCCTTCAGGAACACGTCGGGTCGCCCTGCCTTAGGAGCCCAGAGTCAGCTCGCGCATTACTTAAATCAGCCTTTCATCCGATCTCCTACTTCCACCAGTAAGTTCCCCTTTCCTTTCATGTCTTCTTACAGTTCTGATAGTTCTGACGTTACCAGTTCAGCCCCTAGGCACAGAACAGCTAGCCCCATACTCCTAGATAGCAGCTCTTCCGATTCCTTTAGTTCTTCTCCTTCTATTTCCTCTGGGCCAGTACCCGCGCCTTCTCCCGTCCTATCTCCCGTTAGAGTAATGAGCCCGGCCGAGCGACCTGCCCAGCCCCTAGTCGGAGCTGCTGAACAAACAGCTCCAGCTCAGACGGCAGTAGGGACCTCGGGGGGACCTAGTGGCGACTTCGGAGCGGTCGACACTATTTCCCCAGCCCTGGAACAAAAAGATGTGGACTTGCTGGTAGAAAAGTATGAAATCCCGGCCCACTTTGAACCTAGGGCTGCCCATCCAGGAGAGGTCGCCAGCCGACCTCCTCCTGGGTTTGTGGCGATCTACAGGGACCAGCTAATGGCTGGTCTTCGCCTGCCTATCCCCAATTTCTTCTTCTTTATCCTCACCTTCTGGGGTATCCGCATAACTCAGGTCATTCCCAATGGTGTTCGCTCCATCATAGGCTTTTTTATCCTCAGCCGAGCACTAGAAATCCCCTTTTCTCACGACCTGTTCCAAGCCTTCTTCCAGATGAAGGTCAGCGGGAAGGTGCCTGGGTGGTTCTATTTTGCCCGCAGAAGTGGAGCAAAAACCCCCACCTGCGAGCTGTTCACGGGAGCACCTTCCTCAATCAAAGACTGGAAGCGCTACTTCTTTTTCGTGAAGAACCTGGGCTTTCCCCCCCTGACCTGGAGGGCGGAGACTCAGGTTTCGGATCCACTTCCGTCCCCGCTCCCTGTGACCGAGCTCAGCCGGCTACTCAGCTCGGACGAGAAGCTGGAGGTGAAAGAGTTCAGCAATGCCCAGCTTTGGGCGGCGGGGCTGATCCGAGCTAACCCCTCAGATCCCTCGCCAGAAAATAAGCCACTCTCGCCGGACGAGCTGACCACCTGTAATCGACCTGGCCTTCCGTCTTCCCTTTCTTTCTTCTTTTCTATTTATGCATCTACTGACCTTCTGGTCTTCTGTTTGTGCAGTGAAGAGATTTTCTTCACTTCTGACCATCGGAGGCGCCAGCAATCCGAGCGCTACTACGCAGCCTTCCTCAGCCATCCCCGCCAGCTCGGCGCCAGTTCCACCGCCTCAGCCAGCTCCTGCCCAGTCCTCTAAGCCCGCTGAGGCTGGGAAGAAGAAGAAGAAAAAGACGACTGCCAAGAGAGCTAGGGTGGAGACGACCTCGTCCCCAGTTCAGGAAGAGAGGTCGACGCCTGAGCCGGGTCAGGGCGGCCATTATGGTGTGAATACCGCCGAGGAGCAAGCCCGGGCTGGAGCTCCTCCTAATCTATGGCAACGCCAGAGCTCTACCCTGCTGTTTGACCCGCAGACGCGGCTGGTCACGCACCAACATCCAATGCACTTCTGCCCTCAGTGGAAGCTCTCCATAAACGACCGAGCTCAATTTCCAGAGGTGGCCAGGGAGCTCGCTCATGGGGCCATGCTCCCACGAGACTACAACTTGGTTAAGGCCATGGAGTCGTTCGACCTCCTCAACTATTACTACACAGGCGCGGCTCAGGTGAACGTGGTCGGGTCCGAACTGGCCAAGCGCTACGAGAGCCTGCTCCCTTTGATGAGCGAAACGAAAGCTGCCAATGAGAAACTGCTTAGCCAAAACGAAGCAGCTGTGGCCGAAGCTGAAGGCCTGAAGAAGCAGCTCGCCCAAGCGCACTCAAATTTCGAACTGGAGATGAAGGAAAACTCCGAGCTGATCTCCCAGCTGAATGAGGAGCAGAGAAGGAGTGCCGAGCTGTCTGCTCAGGTTGAGGTGGCTAGGGCCGAGGGACGCCAAGAGGGCGTGCGGGCCTACCTCAGGTCGGCGGACTTTACGAACGACCTGGCCACCCTGAACACCCCAGTGCTTCAGCATGGGTACTCCCAGGCCCTGAAGGAAGTGCAGGAGCTGGGCCTGCCTGGATTCGACCTGGGGAAGTTCTCGAGCTACAACCCCCAGGCTATCGAGCAAGTGGACCGCCTGGTGGAGGGCTACACGCGCGGGCAAAAGCTGGCCGACCTGGTGGCTGACCCCCTGCTACCAGTGACCACCCCCGAATCTGAATAGGAGGAGGAAGAGGGGGAGAACTAGGGTAGGGCCGTAGGATTGGACCCGAACTGTCGGCAGGCAGTTCGTTTTGTATGAGCCCTGCTCTGCCTTTTCTCAATTCCTTTTGTGTGAGCTCGGCTCCCTTTTGTACAGTCTTACTGAATTCATTGAAAAGCCTCTTGTACAGTTTTGCTTTATACTTAGTCTTATTTGCAAAAAATTTTGTCACAAGATACATCAGGTCGGCCCTACGCCGACCTAAAGGAGCTATTTTTTAAGACAAAATTTATTAGCCAAATACATCATTAACAAAAAAGTCTTGACCTTGGAATGAACTGTAATGCACGAGCTGTCTTCTTAACGGAAAATCCTCAAGTTGGAATTATGCCAGGTACGCGGGACCTTCTCCCCGCTGAGGCGGGCTAACTTGCAGTATCCAGCTCGATCTGCCTCTTTCACCACATAGGGACCCTCCCAATTTGGGTCCAGCTTGCCCGTGCCCTGAAGCCGACTGACGCTATTCTTCCGTAAGACCAGATCCCCTGGCTTGAAAGATAGAGGTCTCACCCTAGCATTGTAGTGCCGCGCGATCTGTCCTTTGTACTTGGCCATGCGTATGGCTGCCTCCTCCCTTCTTCCTTCCAGCAAATCCAAGTTAAGGCGCAGCTCGTCCTCATTGTCCCGAGCTATGAAATTCTGAACCCTGCCCGAAGGAACTCCTATCTCCGCAGGAATCACCGCCTCTGCTCCATAGGTTAGAGCAAAAGGAGTCTCCTGGGTAGCAGTTCGGGGAGTGGTCCGGTAAGCCCACAGTATGGTTGGCAGCTCGTCCAGCCACCCAGTTCGGGCGAACTCCATCCGCGTTTTCAAGCCGTGCAGGATGGTCCTGTTGACGTTCTCGACCTGCCCGTTGGCTTGAGGGTGGCCTACCGAGGTGAAGTGCTGCCTGATTCCGAGCTCCGAGCACCATCCTTGAAGAGCACTGTCAGCGAACTGGCGCCCGTTGTCTGAGACCAGGACATGGGGTATACCAAATCGGCAAACGATGTTTTTCCAGAGAAACTTCTGCACCGACCTGCTGCTAATGGTGGTAAGGGGCTCGGCCTCCACCCATTTGGTGAAATAATCTACAGCCACCACTACATGCTCATAACCCCCAGGAGCCCGGGGAAACGGACCCAGCAGGTCGATTCCCCATTGGAAGAAAGGCCAAGGGCTCTGAAGAGGGATCATCTCCTGAGTTGGGGCGTGATGGATCGGCGCATGCAGCTGGCAGGACTTGCACCGAGCTACCAGTTCGGCTGAGTCCAAGAAAATGGTCGGCCAGTAGTATCCAGACAGCATTCCTTTCTTGGCCAAAACCTTGGACCGACGTGGTTTCCACAGATACCCTCATGCAGCTCACGCAGGATGTAGTCTCCCTCCTCCGGAGTTATGCACCTCAGCCACGGGCGTAGGTAGGATTTCTTGTAGAGTACCCCATTCGAGAGCTCGTATCCCCGCGACCTGAAGAGGACCCTCCGTGCCTCCACCCGGCTTGGAGGGAGCTCTCTACTAGCTAGGTACCGTACGATGGGATCCATCCATGAGCTCATTACTTGAATAACAGCCGCCTCTACCTGGTCATACGCCCGATTTCTGACGACCTCCACCAAGACCTCTTTGTTCAACGTACCGACCGAGGTGGAAGCTAGCTTGGACAGAGCATCCGCTCTCTTATTTTGGCTTCGCGGGACCTGCTTGAGCGTGAATACCTTGAACTGAGTTCTCAGCTCATGTACTTTGGCGACGTACCTTCTTAGGGGCTCCTCTTTAACTTCGTAACTTCCCCCTACCTGGTTGACTATCAGTTGCGAGTCGCTGTAGACTTCTATTGACTCGGCCCCTAGCTTTCGAGCTATCATCATCCCCGCGACCAGGGCCTCATACTCGGACTCGTTGTTGGAGGCTCTGAAATCAAATCTCAGGGCGTAAGCCAACTCATCCCCCAGGGGGCCGGTCAGGAGAAGCCCTGCTCCGCATCCTTCCTTGCTCGACGACCCATCCACGAACAGCGTCCAGGTCGGAATGGTCTGATCGACTTTGCCGGTGGCCTGTTCAATCTCAACAGCCTCTCTGGCCTGTTCAGCCTCCGCTGCGTCTCCGATCTGTTCGGCCTTGGCTTCCTTTGGGGCCTGTCCGACCTTGGCAGGTCCTTCGGCCTGCTCGGCCTCGACTGCGTCTAAGGTCTGCTCGGCCTCGGAAGTCTTGGTGGCTTGCTCGACCTGGGCAGCTTCTCCGGCCTGCCTAGCCTCTGCTGCGTCTTGGGTCGGTGGGGACTTGGAGGTCTGCGCGGCCTCGACAGCTTCTCCGACCTGCTTGGCCTTGGCTATGTCTCTGGTCCGCTCGACCTGTGATTCCTGTTGCCCGAAGGAGACCCCTTCGGCTATAAATCTGCCAATGCTTGGGCTTTAATGGCCGTGCGAGGTTGGTAGCTGAGGTCGTACTCGGACAACTCCACAGCCCACCTCACCATTCTCCCTGACGCATCAGGCTTTGAAAGAATTTGTTTGAGTGGCTGGTCGGTCATTACCACCACGGGGTGAGCCTGAAAATATGACCTGAGCTTCCTGGCCGCGTGGACTAATGCTAGAACATACCGTTCGATCATAGTGTATCTTGTCTCCGCGCCCTGCAGAGCTCGACTGACATAGTATACGGGTCTCTGGACTTTGCCATCCTCCCGAACTAGCACCGCACTGACCGCCTCCTCCCCAGCTGCCAGATAGATCAGCAGGGTTTCTCCCTGAGCGGGAGAAGTCAAGGCTGGCAACTGAGCGATGTGACCTTTTAGCTCGCTAAAGGCTTTCTGACACTCGGGGGTCCATTCAAATTGAGGACCTCTTCGCAAGGCTTTGAAAAAAGGGGATCCCCGAACTGCCGATTTCGACAAGAACCTGTTTAGAGCCGCCATCCTGCCCGCTAATCGCTGGACCTCCTTTATGTTTCGTGGAGGAGCCATGTCCATGATAGCCTTTACCTTGTCAGGGTTAGCTCTTACCCCGTCCTTGGATATCATGTACCCTAAGAACTTGCCCGACCTAACCCCGAAAGTGCACTTCTTGGGGTTCAGCCGCATCCGCGAGCTCCGTAGGACGTCAAAGATCTCTCTGAGGTCGTTGATGAACTGCTCCTGAGTTCGGCTTTTCACCAGCATGTCATCTACGTACACTTCCATGTTTCGGCCGATCTGGTTCTTGAACAACTTGTTGACCAGTTGTTGGTAGGTCGCGCCGGCATTCTTCAATCCAAATGGCATGGTGGTATAGCAGTACGTGCCGTACTCGGTGATGAAGGCAGTCTTCTCTTGATCCTCCTCGTCCAGGACTATCTGGTGATACCCTTTGAAGGCGTCCAGAAAGCAGAAAATCTCGCATCCAGTAGTTGAATCGACCAGCTGGTCGATGCGAGGGAGGGGGTAGCAATCCTTCGGACAAGCTTTGTTCAGGTCGATGAAGTCTACGCACATCCGCCACGCCCTATCCTCCTTTTTCACCAACACGGGATTGGCTAGCCAGGTCGGGTAGTAGATCTCTTTCACAATTTTGGCCTCCAACAGTTTGCCTACCTCCTCTTTGACAACCTCGTTGCGTTAAGGCGCGAAGTTTCTCTTCTTTTGCTTCACTGGCCGGATGCTCGGGTCCACGTGCAACTTGTGAACTGCCAGTTCGGGAGGAACTCCGGGCATGTCGTCAGCACTCCAAGCAAAAATCTCGGCGTATTCCTCCAGGAGAGACTCCAGGGCTCTCCGCGTCAGCTCGCTTAGGCCGGATCCAGCCCTAACCACCCGATCGGGTCGTTCGGGGCAGATAGGCAACTCAACCAGACTCTCGTCTGTCTCCAACCTCTCCACTTTTTCAGCAGGTTCCCAGGGTTCCAGATAGGCTACCTGGGCTACCAGCTTCTCCTTACCCTTGAGGGTCGCTATATAGTAGGCCCGAACTACCTCCGGGTCTCCTAGCACCTCGGCCACTCCATCGGGCGTTGGAAACTTCATGCTAAGGTGTAAGGTCGAACAGACAGCTCGGAGTGCGTTTAGGGTTGGACGTCCTAGTATCATGTTGTAGGAGGATGGCTCCTTTACCACCGCGAAATTCACCGGAATAGTTCGGCACTTCGGTGACTCCCCTATAGTGACCATGAGGGTTATCATTCCCTCTGGCTTTACTGGCGGACCTGCAAAACCTATCAAAGGAGTACGAACTGGAATGAGCTGCTTATCCTCCAGCTGCAGCTCTTTGAAAGTTTTGTAGTACAGCACATCGATGGTGCTCCCATTGTCGATGTATACCTTCTTTACTTTGTAGTTGCACGTGATGACTTCTATCACAATTGCCTTATGGTTATTGGAGGTCAAGGGTACCGCGTCCTCTGGCCCATAGATGATTTCGCCGAACCGTATGGCTATCTTCCCCAGCAGGTCTCCCGGCAATAGTGTTGATCACTCCTGCTAGGTTCTGAACTCCCTTCTCTGGAGTTCGATCACGAGGAACCCGAGGTCGATCGTGCGAGCTGGTCGTCCGATCTCGTTTGAACCCCCCTTGCTTTTGATCAGTTCGCCCCTCACGGACAAACTGCCCGAGATGACCTTTCCGTATCAGCTTTTTGATTTCCCTCTTAAGGTGGCGGCAGTCCTCCGTGTCGTGCCCCACATCTCGGTGGTATGAACAGTACCGGTCCTGATCCCGCCTGCTTCTGTCCCCGGCCAAGGGTCGGGGAGGTCGGGAAAGCCCTTCCTGCTCCATTACCGCAAGTACCCGGGCCCTGGGGGCCGTGAGGGAAATCCCAGGCTTATCTCCCCCCAGAGGCCGGCTTCTGGGCTGGTGGTCATAGGTATTCTTTCGCCCCTGGTCACGTCACGTGTCTCCCTGGTCGGTTATCCTTCGACGTTTGTCATCCCTCTGCCTCTCCTGCGCGCTCTTCCAGCGATTGGCCTCCTCAGCATTGGCTTTCTCGTGAGCTCGGTCCAGCATCTCACGAACTGATTTGGGCGGTCTCTCCACGAGCTCAGTGTATAACTTCTGCTTACGCAGCCCGTTAATGAAGGCAGCCATGACCACCTTGTCGTCTCGGTCGCGGACCTGGAGGGATTCGTTATTGAATCGCACCATGTATTCGCGCAGTGATTCCTCAGCCCTTTGCTGGATGGTCATGAGGTGAGCGGTGCTTTTAGAGAAGGCTCGTGAAGAAACGAACTGTGCTGAGAACAGTTATGCGAGCTGGGTAAAAGACCGGTCGACCTGGGGGGAAGCCCCTGGAACCACTGCCGGGCCCTTCCCTCTAGGAACATCGGGAAGGTCTTGCATCTGACCGCATCCGCGGCCGTTTGTAGGCGCATCTGCGTCATGAACACGAACAGGTGGTCTTCCGGATCCGTAGTTGCGTCGTAAGATTTCATGTTTGGAATTTTAAACTTCGCGGGCAGTTGGTAGTCCTCAATATCGAGCACGAAGGGAGAAGCAATGTACCTGTCCGCCTCAGGGTCCAGCAGTAGGTCCAGCTCATCCTGCACCTGTTGTCGCTCCTGCAGGGGGGAGAGCCTCCGGACGGGCTCCGGGTGTTCTGTTCGGGAGTTCTTGTGAGAGGGCTCTATGACCTCGACCTGCTCACGCGTGAGTTTTTCGGCGCGCCCGCTTGGTTCCGGGCTTGGGACTCCCGGTTCGGGACTCTGACAGGTCTGCTCCCTGGACCTTAGGTTCCTTGTCCGGATGACCTTCCGACTGCCCTTTGAGGTAGTTCATGATCGCCTCGAAAGTGGGCAGGTTTTCCGCCACCGTCTGAACCAGCTGTTCAGGCGGGATTCGTGAGGGCCCCGCCCCTCCTTCACCAGGTGTTGGATCCCGAAGGGAGTTTTGGGGGCCACTTCGCTCGGTCCCCTTGGATCCGCCAACGTTCCTCTGCGATCTGGTCATCGGCATATTTTTCGCGAAAAAAAGAGAATATGGATTTCCCACAGACGGCGCCAATTGATGCGACTGCCGAAGTGAAGATCCGAACTGAGCTGGGGCTGGTAGAACGAGCTGGCGAAGTGTTCGACCTGCACGTGAACGAGCTGCGGGGCTAGGTTCCCTGAAGCAACTCCGACGATCAAGTCAGAATGGATTCGTAAGTAGAAGAGTAGAGTTTGCACTATGAGTAGCGTACCTTGTGTTTCCTCATCGTGTGGTATTTATAGAGTCTCAAGTAGTAGTTTCCTAGTAGGACAAGGAGTACTTATTGGAGAGGAATGGTTCCTAGGGCTCTTTAACACAGACCTGGAGACGCGGATTCCGCAGCCCATCAGGCCCATCTGCCTGAGAGGCGGCACCCGCATGGACCTGCGAGCTGACCTGACACTCCGGCACAGCTCCTCCTGTCCGAGCTCGTGGGCCGGACTGATGTGTGCGTGGGCCGGGCCGATGCGCGCCCGGGCCCCACTACACCACCAATCAGGAATGATGATATAAATCCTTTTTTTTTAATGGATTAAGCTAGAGGACTTCTTGCAAATTCAATTGTTTACAGTCCAATACGTCTAATCATGTCCGTTTGGTGGAATTTGCATATAATTTGGTGCATTTTTCATTTTTCACTGAGTTGATTGCAACCATCATAAGTCACACGTATGCCAAAGTTTATATGAATTTTTACTAAATCTTGTAAAAAAACAATATCAACTAAATGGAACTGGACAAACTTAAATTAGCCCACTTCTCGATTGTGTGAGACTCGAACCTTTAGAAAATTTTGTAGATTAATAACAGTATGAACAAATGTATTGTAGTATGGAACTAGGTAATTGTAGACAACCGAAATCTAGAATTTGTTATTTTCTTAATGCCCAACTCATCAAACAGCATGACGGATTAGGACTTCACAAGTTTCAATTCAAAATAGTTTGATCTTCAAATGCAAATAGATAGGGTATAACGCAAATAGATTTGAGTAGAGCATCCGTATAAATGGATAAGATTATAATGTAAAAAAAATAGGATTAAAAACAAAAAAAACCCCTGTAGTATATCTAATACATAGAAAAGCTCCTCGTAGTTTCAAAATATACAAAACGACACGTCATATTTTTGAACTAAATTATAAACTAAAAGAATTCGTTAAACTTAACAGAATCCGATAAACTTAATGGTAAATTTAACAGAATCCGATAAGTTTAGCAGTTAAAATTGTCATTTTCATTAAATTTAACGAATTTTGTTAGTTTACAATTTAGTTTAAAATATGATGTGATTTTGTATGTTTTAAAATCACGGAGGACTTTTCTGTATATTAGGTATATCACATGGGACTTTTTTATTTTTAACCCAAAAAAAATATTATTTTATAATCAATTGTCCTGAAATGAAACTTGTGAGAACGTAATCCATGCATGACACCATTTGCAAATTGCAAGTAGATTTGTCTGCGTGGAACTACTTTTTGTCGGTGGCTTTGACTTTGTACACATTCAAAGGCCAGATCACTCAAGTGCGTGGGACTGCTTACCAAAGTAAAATCTGATTCACTCTTTGACTTTCTGGTCAAAAGCTATTTCCCCCGAACGCGTTCCCGAGTTTATTCATACTAGGAGGGGTTCACCGCGCCTACGCGCGGTGGATAAATTTAATTATGCCCAGTAAGTTTGTATGTGAGTGAATTTTAAAGGTTTATTTAGATGAAAAAAGGGACAAAATACTAAAATTTTCATATAAAAATTGTATGTAAAAGAATAATGAAAAAAACTTGAATAGTTGTAAACTAAATTTTCATTTGTTAGCCTAGTACAAATATGAGTAGCCAAAAGATGCAATATTGAATTTCATCATTGTAAAAGTTTATGTTGTTAATATACCATCTTACCAAAAAAAAATCATTTAATTTCAAAAAAGGCTTTTGCATGAAAAAGAATAAATATAAATTAGTGAAACACTCCATGACTATTATCAACATCAAACTAAAACGTTGCCATGATTTAATACAATGGATGGATGGAACACTCGTCAATCTCCATATTCATGCATAAGCCCCTGAAGCAACTTATGGCAATATGTGGAAATTTAGTTCTAAAGACAAACTTGAGCTTCTAGTAATCAACATAGCATATTAATTAGCAATTTTTTGAAGGAGCACAGGACAAAGTATCCATTTAAAAGACCGATTAACAATGCACAACAGATCCAGAAAAGTTCAATGTTTTTTCACACCACCTTTCAACATCCAATCAAGCTACCAAATATTCTCACTCATACATTAACCTTGTGTAAGCATTTGCCCATTTAAGCAACAGCATGAAAGAATAGAATTGCAAACTGCAACAATGAAGAACATCTCGCAAATCTGCAGGTCAGGTCGGAACATTAGGATTGGTCTCACAATCTCAAGTATAGTCTATTGATGAGACTCACTCAATGTCGTGAACTTCTTCTCCCTCCAGTAGTTTAAATACCTAATATTCACACTCCATAAAATGCATCCAAATTATATCCGAATTATAAG